CCTAGATTTCCAACTTCGATAAGTCGCTACAATGAGACAGAAGGCACAGAGAATGAATGGCCTGTGGTCACGACAAAGCAAGGAATGGCTCGTGTTCGGTTCCAGTAGTAACTCATAGTTCAAGTACGATTAATCGTAATCAAACGGACGAACACGAAGCTTTCCTTCCACTGAGCCGCTACTACTGACCCGACATCTTTAGAAGTCAAACAGCAACTGCAGCAGTGAGCGAAACCCAGTTCATTTCTTCCCCCTCTCTGCGTCCCATCTGCTTCCACACACTGACACTAGCATTACTATAATTGCTGGCTCTCTCTTCACTGGGATCGTCATAATTTTAGCGATTTCTTTCTTATCTTGTTCTTCAAATACAACGGCTGTGTGCACAGAGCAGCGTCCGCTAGAGGTTATGCTAATTCCGTGTTAGTTCGTCTATACTTGGGAATGATTTATTCGAAAAAATTAATTATCCTTCTAACCGCACAAACTAAAGTGTGCTGAAACATGGATACACTGGCTCAGATCCTACTTGGGACACAAATATTTCCCCCGTGAGAAGAGATCTGATCCTCCACACAGTATATCCAAAGATCAATTCCGGCTGGGGAAAAAAACACTGTAGTTTCATTTTTGTTCCTGTGAAATTTTTATTTTATGGTGTGGTAACACTGTGCTAAAATATCGCGTGATCAGCATTGCTAAAGATAACCTGTAAACAGAGTAACAGCTGAAAAAAATAAGGGGGGGGGGGGGGGGGGGGACTTAAGAAGATCTGGGTTAACAAAATGTTGACAAAGTTTCTTGTTGCTGAATATTATTTTAAAAGAATTGCTCGTTTTAAGGCTGAAACAATTCTTTCGTGAAGACATTTCAAACGACGCAGTTCCAACGAAATCGATAGTTCATCGGCTGCGTATCGATTACGTGCAACTCGTTAATTCGCCCACCAACAGACGTTTCGACAATGAGAACCGCAATTATCGGAGTCAATAATAAAAGTTAAAACGGATTCCGTGTTTGTTTTTTCTGCGCTTAGGCCTGAAGGTGTGAATGTAACAACAGAAGAACAAAATAATTTTTTGTAAGGAGCCGAGCAGTTGTATAAATTTCTGAAACAACTACTGAACCAAGACGTTTTTAACTCACTTCCTGATATAATAACTAGGCAATACGAGGTGCGATCGAAAGGTTTCAAGACTGCGCGTATAAAAACCCGTACACTTATCTCAGGTATTAAATTCATCCATCACCCTCGAAGTAGTTCCCCTGGGAGTGAACACAACGATCCCAGCGCCGCTGCCAAGCCTGGAAGCATCCCTGGAAATCTTTCTTTGTCAGCCTGTCAAGCACCATCTGCCATTCTGCCTGAATCTCTTCTATCGTCTCAAATCTCATTCCCTTTAGCTGAATTTTCATCTTTGGAAAGAGGAAGAAGTCACACGGAGCTAAATCCGGCGAATAAGGAGGGTGCAGGATGACGGCCATGGTGTTTGAGGCCAAAAACTGCCGAACTTTGAGGGCGGTGTGCGCTGGCGCGTTGTCATGATGCAGCAGCCAGTTGTGGTTGCGCCACTTTGACGGCCGCTTCCGTCCTTTAGAATCAGCTGACAGGTCCCATAGCCTATCCCAACAAGGTCGCACAAGTCGTTGATGGTACGACGTCGATCTTCGTGAATGGCCTGCCGAATCTTCGTAACATTTTCGGGCGTTGTGCTCGAAGATGGTCGTCCAGAACGCTCGTCATCATCGACAGAGGTTCGGCCATTTTTAAAACGTGAATGCCACACAAAAGTTTGCGGACTCCCCAAATGCTTGCTTGAGCATTTAATAGGTTTCCGTAGCCGTTTTGGCGAGTCTTTGGCAAAATTTGATGCACACGCCATTCCGAAATCGCAGGAGGGTCGGTGTAATGCACTACCAAAACGCCCGTAACTAAGAAACAAATGCTAATTCGATGATGCCGGCTGGCACACTGATTCACTATGAATGTAGGCCGCACCCCCTAGCGGCAGAAGCTCGTACTACATCCGGTTCGCCCTCTATTGACACAGTCTTGAAACTTGCCGATCGCACCTCGTATTTCAGCAAAAGTACTGCCAATGTGCGCCATCTACACGACCCTTAGCAAATTCAGTTCAAATCCTAACGTTCCGTGTTTCAAATCCATTTTAATATTATTCTCGCATCTCTTCGGTGTTCAACAGTAACTTTTTTCATAGAGGTTTTCCCACCACATTTCTACGCTCATTTCTTCGGACGGTACACTTGTCCAGCCGAGTCTCTGCACTACACGCTGCTACGTAAACCTATCCTCCGGAGTCAAACTTATCACGAAAGATCAAGTCAGCTAAACGTAATCAACTTGCTTGTCCTATGCCTTAATTCTAAGAATGACATGATCGCAAATGAAGCGTCTTGTTGCCATGGAAACGGTGCAGCAGATGGACAATGAGATGTCGAGGTAGCGTGAGTTTGCACGCAATGAAACAATTCAGACAGCCAAGAATATCAATCAAGTCACTGGAAAGAAATTCCATAAATTATTGCTTAAGCTGAAACCATATTCGAAAAAAAAAATATCATCCTTACATCCATTCTTGCAGTCTGTAGCTGACAATTTTTTTCATCTTCAACAATAGAACAATTTCGTTCAAAACAACACAAAGCTGTGTACTTTTTGAGTCCAACATGTCATTTTTTTTTTACTTTGTTCATTATAACAACTGTTATCCTATTTACAAATAATGTTTAAAAATGTTAATAATGGGAATTTTAGCAATGTAAAGTCGACAAAAAGGAAAATACATCACAATTTCCGATAAGAAATACGAGTTTCCTCCATTATGTTTATCATTATCGATATCTTGTCATCAAATTTGTGTGTCATTTACGAGATTGTTGTGAACTTGTACGCGATACCATCTCTGAAACTTGAATGCTGGTCGTTTTATGAGCATTACAGCTTTATTAATGTCCTACACTCAGCTACAACACATCATCAGACACGCAGACTGCCTGTTGTTTGTCAAGCAGCACGCGAGGAATAGCCCGGGCAGCCCGGTCGTTCTCCTGACTTTGGTATCAACAAGGTGGCACTACGCCTCTCGCTGAATAACAGCAACATCATGGCCTCGACTGGAGACGCACTGGAAGAATTCTTCGCAAATTGTTCAATCCATGGTCTGAAGCACATTGCAAAGAAAAGTGGAAATCACTGGACAGAAAGGTGTGCATATCAACTTATTTGTTGTGCGTTATTTTGTTTGAAATTAAGTATATTTCTTCGTGTGGTTAAATACCGCTAATAATTACAGCCGTCCACGCCATATTGTAACTGTTCACGTCCGCATTAGTAACCAGGTTATGATTTAAGACACTTCGTTGTTGACACGCCCGGCGCATACTTAAAGGACCGAGGTTCCGTTCGCAAGATGGCGTAGCTGGACAATGTACGGACATTAAACAAGACTAGAAATGTGCAGTTACTCTTTGGAGTACACTCAAATTACAAAGGTGTTCAAAACGCGGTATCATGGGCGATTATGTCAAAAAGAAAGTGCAACAATAGTGTCATTGTTACATTGTTGATACGATATTTCAAAGGCGAATGTTGCAATAATGCAACAATGCGATCCGAGATCACATGGACCGGCTCGTTTGGCTGACTAAAAATAATTCCTTTTTTGAAGCTTAAATCTAAATTAAAATGTCGAAAGAAGGATTCCTATTGAAAAAGACTTCGTCAATTTCGAACATGGTCACAGTACGAAGTCGGATGACGTGATTGGCCCGGGTACAATCAATCGAATCGAGTCTGTGTTTCGACACACGCCTATAATTTACTTCACGTTTCTGAAACCAGGAAGTTAGGTTAGTTTAGGTTAGGTTAGGTTAGGTTAGGTTATGTTAGGTAACAGACGGGAAGACAAAATTTCCCTACCGAAATCCAAAATGTACCCCCGGTGTTCTCCGTCCATGCAGGTTGTTCTGGGCATTGTGCTGCGCTCTGTCAGGTTGGGGCTCCGTCCTGCTTGTCCTCTCATCATACGAGACTTTGCGGACCAACCCCTTGAGCTCCGTGGTTTCTACTTCGTATCTGGACTGGTCCATCAATTTCCCGTCCGTTTCCGTGTGCGAGGTTGAGAACAACAACAAATCGAAGATTCTTGCCAGAGAGTGAGTAAATTTCCAGTGATCCAGAACGTATGGATTCGATTGACGATAAAAATCCGTAACGATACGTTTGTTTTCGGAGATTTTTTTAAGTCCAGATCAAGTTTTATGGAATATCCCCGAATTCCACTCATCTCACACTTAAAATAAGTACTTAGTGTGTGCGTCTGTCTGTCTGTCTGCCTATGGACGCAGATAAACACTGCAATGTTCACAGAACCTGACCATCGCGCTGGACCAGTGTGGACGCTGTGTCGAATGGTACGTCCCGCTGTCAGAAACCGAACCAGGGTTGCCCAGTCACTACAAAACTTAAACCCTTGTTCGTTCCAGGTACTTTGGCGAGTTTTACGACCTCAATAAGATGGGGGCGATGCACGATATAGCATTTTTTCGAGATGCGACGCCATATTTGAAGAAGACTTGCCAAAAGAAGAAGAGTGTGTTCAACTGCTCCGGTATCGACGTGCAGTCCACGGCCCGGGCGGTAAGAATACGCCCCGTGACGGCTTCCTTCCTATTCTTAGCTACGGCGCGGAGCGACGCGTCGCCATCTGCTGTTCTATTGTTTCAGGAAACTCGCTTTTTTGTTTTTTGTGGCTAATGACTAATCTGATGGATGGAGGGGAGGGATTAGACAGGAGTCACTGCACCGCATCTGAAACTGGGCGCTGGTGGTGGGGGGAAAATACGTATATTTGTTATTAAACGTCCATCGGAAACGTGAATGCATGTCTGTCTATCGCCAAGCCTCAACTACAAAATGACTGAACGATTTTAACTAAATTTGGTGGCCTATTGAGAATTTAAATTCAAAAGTTTATGCTAATTTTTTATTATTTTCGCCAGTATCAGTCCCACTGTTATGTTTATTTCACGTCAAACATACACCTTTTTTATCAGCAGATAACTGTCTTCTGGGATGCTGCGTAGGCCTAGTCTTGTAGAAATTTGCCAAAGTCTCAGAGGTTAGGTTACTGGCCTAATTATGGAAGCTGTAAGTACCTCTAAAACGTCGGTCGATTTCTACAAGACTATGCCTACGGAGCATCCCAGAAGACATCTTCATATTTGCCGCCGTGAGAACCTCAAATGTTAATGAGTGTCATGCAATTTATCCGTCAAAACCCAAAAGGAAGAAATATAAACCCCTCCATCAGGAATACGTAACTTTCATTTGAAATAATTTCCTACGCTGTTCATATTTAATGGCGTACAAGGAGACAGGTAATTTAATATTCAGCAGTGGTAGAATTTCTCTAAGGAAGGAGGCGCGATTATTTTCACGAGGAGGACTGAAGAAGACCTCGAAGAAAAATCTGTACTCAGTACAGAATCGCTGGTCATCACTCACAGCGTTGGAAATTCTTTATCGACAGGATGCAATAAAAAATATAAAGTTGTCAATAATTGACTTGGCCGTGATGTTGCAAACTGCTCTAGTGTCGTGTTTATTGCGTCATTTGCAGATACGAAGTTCTTGCGAAGAAACGTTCGACCATTGTCGATGGAACGGAGAGGAATTCAATTGTTGCGATCACTTCCTGCACCTCGAGACGGAACTGGGCGTTTGCTATTCGATCAATAACTTACAAACAAAGTGAGTAACTGGCCATTACAAACTGCAGTCAAGACAGCGGCTCTGAACGTCTTATAGGGCGTCATAAGGCTAGTTTCGGCTTCATATTAATCTTATATCGACGCAAGGCGTCGGTTGCCACAGTCGGTCGTGTTATATCCTTCCCCGGGGTTTAACTTCGCTGCATTTGGAATCTTATCGCTACGTTCGACGTCGATAGTCGATTAAAAAAATATCGACCATAGACCAACTCAAACGGATCAACCTGAAATTTCGCTAAATAAGAAAGTCTCTTATGCTGCCATTTGCAGGTAACATTCAAAATTAATATAGTGCCGAGGTCGATAATGACTAGGAGTTATACTCCTCTCCCCCTGAGCGCCTACATGGCGCATAACAGGATTTTATTTATTTAGTGTTCTGTCTGACGACAGGTCCATATGAACAGGATCCATCCATCCTTTTCTCGGACTTGGACCTGTTCATATACGTTCTTGGGATTACACGGCCAGCGTTCTAACCGCTAGACCACGTCATCTTATTATTATTTAGTGTTCTGTCTGAGGACAGGTCCATATGACCAGGATCCTTCCATCCTTTTCTCGGATTGGGACCTGTTCATATACGTTCTTGGGAGATGATCCAGAAGTGGTTTGCCATTGCCTTCTTCTGTGTGTGACTGGAGTAATTGTTGGGATGCCACGGAGAAACCGGGGAAGCCCCCGGAGGAAAACTCCGTGTTGCCTAGACCACGGCCTTGCCCAACACAAGTTATAAATTCGGGCACCTTCGGGAATCGAACCCGAGACCCCCAGGATTACAAGGCCAGCGTTCTAACCGCTAGAACACCGTGGTTATCGTAACAGGATAGCTTTACTTTTTTTTCAACTTTTGGAATGTGTCATTTTGGGTTCTGTCAGAATATTAGTAACGAATTTGTGCTTATGGCAATTAGCCACTTGTGTAATGTTCCAGAAACAGATCAGACCCAGAGACATTTATAGACCTGAAGTCAAACAGAAGCACTGGACCTGGTATCCTACGCCTCGATCTGAAGACGACAGCTAAAGTAAGTGTCCCTAGGTCTTCCTCATGTTACATGGCAACTACATGATTTAGTAAAGCATTAAATATAATCGTTTGAAGCCCGAAATCCATCTAAAAATATTTAAGAATTCAGTCCGCACCGCGAAGAAAACACAACTCTTCACCATTACAAAGATCAACTGGTTAACGCCGTTTAAGAAAATACTACAGAACGTAACGCCAATTAACCCTTTGAAGTTGAGCTCGTTCAAATATTATTTAAGAATTCAGTCCGTACCGCGAAGAAAACACTACTCTTCACCATTACAAAGATCAACTAGTTAACGCTGATTAAGGAAATAATCGCTGTTTATTCTGAGAATCACATGAAACGCATAAATGCACTGCGTGCTGACAAAATACATAGTCGCTGAATGTTAAAGAAAGTGGTACATATAGTTACCACTGTTCTTGAAAAGGTTAAATCATAAAAATTCACGTTGGTTAAGGAAAGAGAACAGTTTATAAAATACATACAGGGTTAGCCAAAAGTGCCGCGGCCTCCTTTGATTTCCAGCTCAAAATTCCTGGAGATTTACCGCCACTTCCCCATACACCTTCATGGCGTCGTGATTACACGCCTTTCTTAACTCTTGACTTCGTTCTAACGCCCGTACGAAGTCTCCATTTGCTTTTCCACGGGCAGGTGTACATCCACTCAAGAACCGACGTTCCGAATTTGAACACGGAGCAAACAGATGTCATTGCCCTAGAATCGAAGCCGAAGTCCCAAGACGAGGTGTTCCTGGTTGTACACGACACTGAGAACGAGGAAGGGGTGAGACACGTGGGCGCCGAGAGGAGGAAGTGCAATTTCCCCTGGGAAGGGCGGCCCGAATACTACCCGCAGTACTCGTACTCGGCTTGCATCGTGGAGTGCCGGAGGAGGACCGAGATGGCGCTCTGCAACTGCACCAGACACCTCTTGCCTCCCGCAGGTTCGACCTGACCTCCTCTTCCGCAGAAAACAGCGCGGTTCATCCTTTCACAGTACCTCCGAGGTTGTAACGCCCCCTTGGACTTATACGTAGATACCAACGTTTCGACAAGATCTCCTGCTTCCATCTTCAGGGCTTCTAACAAATTCGCACAAGGCATTATTAGACTACTGCTAATAGCAAAGGGACCTCACAGATACACGCCATTTAACTGACTTCATGGTGCACAGTCATCCTTGAGAAGCTGATAGTCGCTCAGATAGTCAAAAACAAACACCAACTTCTGTAGAGCTCGAAGGTTTATTACCGTGTTCGCTAGAGTCTCTATCCTAAACTAAATGAATCCAATTCACACCCCAAACCGTGTTTCCCTGCGATGCATTTTAATATTATCCTCATATCAACGCCTAGATTTCCTCAAAAGTGTTTTCCCGACGTACTTTCTAACCGAGATTCTGTAAGTGTTTCTAACCCCCCCCTCCCCACTACATATCCGATTAAGAGAACAAATTAGGGAGCTCATACATGTCAATTTACTGTTTATAATGTTGGTATCTGTGTCTTAATCGGGGCCAGATAAAAAAACGCAAGTCTGAGAACCTCCAGAGTCTTGAATAAGCAACGCACTACAATTTTAGGCGTCCAGAAGAAACAATTTGGCTGATTCCAACTTCTTGTTGCAGGGAAGACCGGCAAGGCTTGTGACATTAATAACATATTTTGCATAAAAGATAACGAATATTGGCTGTTAACCCTGGGACCACCCTGGACCACGAATAGCAACGCCCTGAAATGTCCCTGCCGTTCAGGCTGCGAGGATATTCAGATCGACGCAATTCAAAGCAGAAGCCATGAAAACCCGAAGTAAGTATAAATGAGACGTTTGTTCCTGATTAAATACATTATTATAGTAGCCGTTGTCATAGAAATGGTTACTGGATTTTTGGCCTTCGGTCTGGTTTCCATTACTGACCGTAAAACCACAGCCTCAACAATTGTCATGACCCGAAGAATTTTTTTTTCAGTGTGAATTTACTATCGGTCCATTGTTGTCTGCTTCTTCAGAGGTAAAAATTCAAACCTACAGACAATCCAACGGTTTCAGTTTTGACATTATGTTTAAACAATTTCTCTGTTGTCCTGTGGTCCCGCCAGTAGTAATTATTCACATTTGTTATCTGATAACAGCGCCAGGGACTCTACTAAATCCTCCGTCGAAATGAACCTTCTCTATCTGCCTTCAGAGAAGTACAAACGGACCGTGGTTCGAAGTCGACTGGATCTTGTAGGTAAGTGACTCATATCGATAAAGACGCGCGCTGAGTTGACCGGCTTCAAGCTCAGACCGCAGTACGCCAAGGAAAACACTCTCTGGGTTGGAGGCTAGGTCGGCCCGTATAACTCGATGATTAAGAGAGGTAATCGCTCACGCAAATTCCCCGTCTTTTGTGGAACCCAAAGGTTCACCACCGCGCTCACAACAGCCCGGCACTAGTCTATATCGTAAGTCAGCTGGTTAGCCTGCAGTCCACATGCTCAAACCTTACATAATTGAGATCCAATTTAATATTATCAAGTTTCGTAAAACCCTTTAAAGCCCATTGGTAACTATACGTACCCCCTGCATTTTTATTTTTGTGTTTCGTGTGATTCTCCCTGCAAACAGCGATTATTTCCTTAAGCAGCGTTAACCATTTGATCTTTGTAATGATGAAGAGTTGTGTTTTCTTCGCGGTACGGACTGGATTCTTAAATATTATTAAGATGCCTACGCAGTGTATCAGTGGGTTTAGTGTGATTCTCATAATAAATAGCGAATATTTACTTAAACAGCATTGACCAAATGGACGTTGTCATGCGATATGATTTCTCTGAGACAGGAACTATGCTTTAAACTGTTTTCTCGTCGTCTTCCTGTTCTGTTCTTCTTCCAGTATCAATGGGCAGCGCGTTCGCCCTGTTTTTTGGAGCCAGTCTCCTAAGTTTTGTGGAGATCGTCTATTACTGTACCCTACGATTACGTCGACGACAACCTAACCAGAAGAAAAGTTTACCGACCCCTGAAGGGCGCAAGCATCAACGAATCATCACGTCCGTGGTACAGAATTCATTTTGAAAAGCTGGTAGTCACTCAGCTAGTCAAGAAAGATTTTTGTTCTTTTATCTGTAGGTTCATTACTGTGTTTGCAGATGGACCCTATCTTGAGCCACGTGAATCCATCGTACACACCAATAATCTCTATTTTAATATTATCCTCCTCTCTTCCCGTCAGAGCATGGAGCACCGCCCCATGCGTGCTACATTTCCGCCCATCTCACTCTCCTTTATTTGACAATCCTACTTCTGGTGAATAGAACAAATTTTGGGGATCCTTATGTAATTTTCCTCAAATGTTTAATGTAAGAATATCCACAATAATTTCCTGTTAGTATGAATCAAAGAAATTTTCACCTGAGAAGACGAATTTTTGAAGCACAATAACGAACTACATACACATCAGAAATAAAGATGAACGATTAATTTACATCCAAAATTAAATGGATTACGCAAACATTTGTGTCTGGGTTCGGTGCCAACTGTTCTGAGAATTGAGAACATATGCAGTTTCCACTCCTTGAATAAATGGGAACAAACACCACATTAAAGCTTACAAAAAAAGTTCAACTGGATTTTAATTGTTCTTGAAGCCAAATACGCACGCGAGATTCACTACTACGCGCTATAAGCTATGGATTTCGCATAAAACAACTGCACGGCGGGAATGAGGCTGGTCTTGCACAGAATTAAGAACTTCGATATTATTCCAACAAATTATTTAAAAGTGTGCAGAAAAAAACAAATATATTATGTAACAATAAAATTAAGAAATGGATTTTTGTTATAGTACTTGTTACAGTTCGTAGAGCACTGAGATGGCAGCATTAATGCAGTTTCAAATTCAACGTTATACGGACAATTGCTGCCATCTTTTGAAGCAATTCCGAAACCTTTGAAGAATAGGAACTTTTTACATAACCTAAATACGCCGAGGGTTTTTCTGACGTCATATAATTTCATACAATTGGGTTATCAGTTTTATTTACAAAACATGAATAAATCACGAAAATCCCCAACTAACATCACATTCACATAGCAACAGGAAAATCTTCACACACACAAATTATCAAACTGTGATCTTCAAAATACAAACCAACTGAACCATTGTACCATCAGAGGTTAGCAAATCAATTCCTGGATGAACTAAAAGTTATAACATAATCCTTTGTGTCAACCTAAAAATAAAGGCTAATGGTCAACTTCAATACAGGTCATGTTGCATCACAACCCAAAGGCAATCAACAATAAAACAAATGCTTTAAAAAGGTAAAGAAAACATATTGGCATTTTCTAGTAAGGATGTTTATAGTAAAAATTAAATCGTCCACTGTTCGAATGTTTTATTGAACGAAACTGACAAGTCTTTTATAATACACCACAATATGAAAACATCTTTTAAAATCTCAGCTTCTGGAAGAACCATTTGTTTTTCCCAGACTTGTATCTGTAACAAATAGTACAAATCAATAACAAAATTCTGCAACACACATTAAAAAACTTTACAAAACTTAAACTTATTTGTACTCAACATAAGGAATCAGGTTTCTGTGAACGCAGCAAAACAACTGCTATTTCACATACATTAACGAACATCATTTGTGGACAGTAAAACTTATATTTTACCAATTAGGAACAAGGTACAGGATGTATGGAGTTTGTAGACTAGTGGCACTATTGAAAACTGGGACCACTGAAGGAAGGCAAGGGTTAATCAGGCACCAATAAGAAAGGGGCATCAGCGCTCAAAGATGCTGAAATAGTGCAGTAAATATACACCAAGGTTAATGTTTTCACAAAAAGTTTTGATCTAACATCCCCCCCAACCCATACGAGGGACAATGAGACGACAGAATTTAATGAATTTACCATAGCCTGTACATAGAGGCAAAAAGTTTTTTCCTCAAAAACTACCAAACACAGGACTGCAGATTTCTCACTGTGGCTAGACAACAGAATGCATTAAAACATTTGCAACTCTGTATAAAGCAGAACTCTGAGAAATAATAATTAAATAAAATAATTCAGCATTTGCACCATGTGACAAAGTTTTCTCACAACATGACACCCTCAAAATTAACACGTACCTTTCCTCAAATTTGACCTTAGCTTGGAACCTTGCCTTTTTCCTCTTCATTGGATCTTTCAGGTCCTTAATTGTTGTTTTCTCCAAGGTCAAATCAACTGTGTAACGTGTGGGCATCAGATGATTGTAATTCAGGACCTAGGCGTAAAAATTTAGATAAAGCAGATATTTATACAGATAAATACACTGTACGCAATTTCTGACAACAAAACATTCCCTTACACAACACATGACGTTTAAGTGTTTACAAATTTCAAGTGTAATGTAGGATTTGAGGTTTCCATTAACATACCTGGACTGGCAAATCAACACTTCAAAAAACAACACAAAAATCTAACTTCTATCACTACAACTGCTCAACAGATGTGGTAACTAAAATCCAAGTCCATAAATTCACACACACGTACAAATGTAAATGAAAAATAACAGTGAACTAAATAAGGGCAATGTTTACTAAAGTGCAGGCCACTCATCACCACAGTCTCTAAGTACAGATTTTGAAAGTGGTCAGTCCAATCAAATTTCACCCATAAATATATGACAGTACTTATCATCACTCACAGTTAAATGTATTTCTGGTTTTCATCTGATACAGCCTCATCTTAATTTGTGTGCTTTAGTTCCCAAGAGCATGCAAATATAACCTAAATGAAATTCTACGAAGTAACCTTTTGATTACAACATAATTATCTATGTCACTATCTGATGATGATGTACCATGTACTGAAAAGGGATGAGTACAAACTTTAAACGCTCAAGATTCTTAACACAGGAATGGTGACAGTGCAGGTAAACAACCATCAAAACAGCCTCTTTGTTACACCAATTCTTTCACCTGAACTGGAAAATGGAAGAAACAGAACAAATTCCATTTCCCCATTTTTAATTCTTTATCATGCTTACATAGTTTACATCCTATTACACATCTGCACTATAAGCAAGCTTACCTTCACAAACGGCTTAATTTTTGACCTCTTGTGTATCTTTGCTTTCCCCATCCTCTTATGGACTTTTCTTGGATATCGGTCAATTCCTGCCACTAGTGCATGGCCATACTGCTTATCTGATGTACCATCATCGAAGTTCCTTACGACAATTGCTTTCTTTCCAGCATACCGGCCACTGAGGACCAGCACAACTTTGCCTGCTTTCATAATCTTCCCCATTTTGAGGCTGAAACAAAGTCCTGTAGTGACAAATAATTATTCGACAGTCACAACAATTCAAGGTGCAAAACCCTAAGTTCTGAATTACCAGACAAGCGTAACTGTTTATGGAATTATACACATTTTATACTTTAAATACGTGAACGACAAGTTTAACCAACGATCCAACAAAGCCACACGCACACGTTTCCAACATACTATACCTCCTTTTTTGTAATAAAATATTGAGTAGTATGGTCAATATTGGTGCCTAAAAATGAGGGGAAAAAACATACTTTCTTACACATCACTAATGTTAATATATGTCATTGATGTTTCATGATTTTATAAATATTTTACACTTCCTATACTTACGGTATATAACCACGAAGGAAAAGGAAGTATATTCACAATCTAAAGATGGCACTGCAATCGACATTAATGGCGTTTCTACAGTACTACCAACTACACTTAATCCAAACATGCTAACGAAAATTATCCGTGCTACCAACTATACCGATGTTTAATATAACTATTGATTTCTTTCTTTAAGGACTTATCAGTAGCTCAACTATACAATTATAGGATTAATGAATTGGCCAGGATCTCGTAGGAAATAGTCACAGCCTAATTTGATCCTATCTGAGCATTTGCCAGGAAGTACTGAAGAAAACCATGTATATCTTCTATTTCTGGAGAGCTAAGTGGCAACATTCGAACCTGGGTCCTCCCATCTACAAAGCATGGGTGCACATATGAACAGGTTATTCTAAAATGGTCTTCTGAGATGCAGTACCATGCCATTGACCTGATGGGAATTTCTACCAGACTAGATGATGCTACAAACCAGAAGACAGACATCTTCATACTCACTACCACGAGAAATTAATATCCTACTTAGCAGTTATTCTAGTTAACCTTTTATTGGCACAGAACACTATTGTCCTTCATGCCAGACATAAATGCTATGTTAAAGGACTTCTCCACTTCTATGTGCTAGGAGATTCAAATATCTTTCCCATACCCTTCCTCTGATCAAAGAGGGATGCAGCTTCAACAATATCTTTCTGTATGGGTTAAAGGTAAATTATTACATACATAAAGAAATAATCCATTTCATAGGTTAAGAACATGTCTTTTATGCAATGACACAACTTTTCTGTAGAAATACACACATAAAATACTTTATTCAAAAATTGTACTTTTCAATTGAAGCGCACACTTTCACTCACACACAAATTTATGAAAACAAAATACATACAATAATTACACAAAATAACATTTCTACCAGCCTTTGATTGTACATAAATACTGTCATGTTACTTTAACCATTAATTTACTGCTGAAATTGTAATATTTATACAAAATGAGGGCATAGTCCCATGATACTCATTGTACTGCTGTCAGTTTTATGCATTATTGCTACTTCCATTTGTTACAGATCATTGGTTGAGAAATATTTGAACATGTAATGGGAATATAAAAATCAACCTAATTTGTCATCTCCTTTTTTAAAGTTTCAGTGTGTTTGTAATAAGCTGGCATCTGCCATGATTTAAAGAATTTTAAATACTTCAGACATGTACATTCAAGTTAAATATTTTATGCTTACGGCTTCGAGATATGACACCATCCCTACATAAGAATCCTCTCTGACATGGATGTCTACAACACAGAAAATTTTTGGTTCTGGATGCATTACGTATTGAATACATTGTTCATTTCAGTAAGTATTTCATGTACCCTAAATTCTCACATACAAAAGTTTACTGTATGTAAAATTTAGGTGAACCAAACAAGGAAAAAATTTATTTTGAGAGTAAAATTCCTAGAAGGGGAGAGAAGAGGGGAAAACAAAAACTTATCATCTCTCTCCAGTCTCAGTTTGCCTATTCTGTAAAATGTAGCCTGAATTCTGCGGTACATTTCTATGTACGAGTATGTCAAACACTATATAAAAAAATTTGCCTGAGAAGAAGAAAGCCACACAAAAATTAGATCATTTTGTTTTTAAAGAATGAATATCATGGACCCAGCTCCGCTTTCACTATTTTTCCAATGCCATTAAGTTTTATGTACATATTATCAGTACTGAGATTGAGCATTACTCTATTCTGAAACCACAACTTATTCCAACTTTTTAAGTACGCATTACTTTTTGTTTCTTATTCAATACTACACTTCAGTTTAAGCACATTTAGACCAGGCAGGTGGGTTCTTAAGTTACACTTTCAAACCTCTTTCTTTCAATTTCATTTTCAAACTAATGTCCATTTTCAATCTGGACAGAAATATTTCAAATGTAAAAATACTGCAACAAAATAATTTAATGTAATAAAAGTAGAAAAATAAATTCTCAGCTGAGGTTGTCAACTGAACGAACGACAAAAGTTGCCAGCTCTTTGGCTGTAAGGTTAGAACTATCAGATTGTGGGTAAAACAAAAAAGTGCTTTTTATATTATAAAATATAATTTCTCCTTACAGCGAACATTGTCAGAACGCTGCCTGCAATCCTCTTATCAACTGCCAAGACAGACACGCTACTTTTCAGATATATGTCACATATTACTATATGGTTACCTCATAGTAGATAATTTTACATGAAGAGATAGGGAAAATTCCACTAACGACACTACAGTATAATGGTCTAACCCTTGAATTTGTGAGGTTTCTTGCCACCTGTCAGAATTTCTAGGGCAGTGATTCTCTATATTATCAGATTCATGGACAACGAACAGCACGTTCATCAAACACCAGTACCCTACCTATATCAATTTATACAGTGAAAAAATTGATAGTCTATGAATCAATTTATTATAACCAGTGTGACACTTGAAAGACACGTCTGTACTCAAAGGATGTTCTGGTGACCCCAAAACTCCAAGTCCTCTTCCTCCACACTCATCCTCTCACACCATTAAACAGCCAAAGGGAAAATTAAAAAAAAAAAAAGTTCAATAAAATCTATTTAGTTGCTAAATAATTTTTTAAAAAAAATTTAGTTGCAAACAGTAATTTTTCCAGCTATAGTAAAATATATACAGTGCAACGCCAACTAGAGATGAGAAATGCATACAAAATTTTGGTTGAAAAGTCCAGAGTGAAGAGACCACTCACAAGACCCAAGAGTAGATGAGGGAATGATATCAAAATGGATCACAAGTAAAAAGTGTGGGTGTGGACCAGTGGTAGGCAGTCGTAAACACAGCAATGAACTTCCAGTTTCCATAAATGGTAAGAAATTTCCAGACTAGCCTAGTGATTTTGATCCATGGACTTGGATCATTAATGCAAACTAGAATATACTGCCATGTAGTGTATGAGACTTTCAGCAGTCAGTGGACTACTAGCTGAGACACAGCGATATTCTCCAATTTTGGATTCAGAAAATGGTATCCAAATTTTTCTGCACCATAATTCCTGCATTTCCTTCATGTTATCATGACTACAGCAATGCAGGCCATAAAATCCTACAAGTATACAACTGCAAATGATTTTAATCTAAATAACACACACCCTAAAACCACATCAACGCACGTGCACACGCACTACTTGAATCACCTACTCAGCCCACTCATTTACACATATATGTAATTGTACACTCATCAAAGGGTTAATACTGTAACTGTAAACTTGTAACTTCTATATTCAGTGCGTAAACATTAACAAAAGTTATATTTGTAGAGATCAAATAATAAGTTACTTGGCCAATTCTCAAGTTTATAACCATAACCACAACATTCACTTCAGTTTTTACAATTAAAATCATGTATGCATTTCTTATTTTGCCGTGCGTATGACGTCCCACTTATCCCAGGTGCTTCGATCTGACCGCTTTGTCAATACGAAAACTACGGTGAAGTAACTTTCTCCATCTTCCTGTTACTTCACCTCTCTTAGGTCCATATATTGTCAAACACCAATATACGACAACACATTAAATTTGGCAAAGGAGAAAATAAATGTTGATTTTGTAAACTCTACATGGATGGACAAAGGTAAAGCAAATTTACATAGACATCACTTTCTTCATAAATTTTCTCCATCTGCTGTCTCTCTATCATAAATTTGTAAGAATTGAATACACCTTTTTAGGAGACGCGTGTTGGTATAAGTTTTACACAGAAGAAATATTCAGCAGCAAATGGGTTAAGAATAAATAAGTGCTTTACATTGAACATAAAAACTCTCACTACTTTTCCACTAAAATATTTTGTTTAGTATGTAACATGTTTTCACACGCAGTAATGCTACGAAACAAGGTAGTTCGTTCACATGAACTGCTCGGAAGTCTGACATAGTCTTAAAATTGTACAAACTAATACGAGTTGCTAGCATCTGTTGTTGGCATCACGAAATAAACAAGTTGATTCTCTAAGAGATGTACTCTGCATTCACTGTTAAAGTTGAATGAAACTGTCACTTCCTGGCTGGAATTACATTACTCACCACCAAGCGCTACAAGGTTTTCCTGATTCAAGTCAAGTATCGCTCCATAAAAATTATAAAAATCAGCTTACCAATTTTATAGCAGTTCATGCCAAAGCTGAAAAGTGAGTTGCATCCAACTTTACTACTGAATACAGCGTGCAATATATAATCCACATTTTTGTAATGGCTACGTTTATCGCTCATTTCTTTGTTTCACGTTCATGGAAGCTGTGACCTTGAAAACCAGAAACTCTAAACACAAAATGCAGAAACTGTTACGAATTAAACTTTCTTCTGACTTTGGAGAATGGGACATAGAGTGAAAGCTACGCCAACAAAAGGTAATGGAAACATGAACTAATGACGCTACACGCAGGAACGACGACAAAACAAAAGAAGAAACAAAGAAAGAACTGAGCATGTAAGAATTTGCTACACCAAAATATGTTAAATCAGCTTGTTTTTACAAAATAACTTTTATTTACTTAATATTAATTAATGCTTATAGTAAACAACTTATCATGGGCAGTAATTATAGTAAATAATTTCACTGTATTTTATGATGTAAAGGTGTGAAAACGTTATGAAAATACATTTTATAGAAGTTCAACTTTATAAAGCCCACTTCATCATTCTGAAATGTGAATCATATTTGGAGAACACTAAATTATGTAAAAGTCAGAGGTACGAGGGGTTTAAAAATCCTACACCCCCAAATTACCTGGAATGAAGAAAATATGTCTTTCTGAATATATTTCGTTTGAAGGAAAAATCTGACTAACGTCATCAAGATGTGTATTAAATATATATGTAACCTTCACATTAACATGAACAAATATGTTTATTTTGTTATTGCACTCTTCACGAATGGATTCACTTTGACAAAACTTACGAAAGCAGGCAGTAAAAATGGCCAAGAGGTCAAAACGTTTCAAGAAAATAAATAACATTAAAAAAAATTATTTTTTGCAAGAAATATGTTTGAAAACTACCTACATTAAATGCGGGCAGTTTTCCAACATATTTATGTGATGCCATGCAATACGAACACGGTAACAGCTTATGAACTTCGTTATACTGATGCCGAGGAAAGAAATCACATATGCCGACTCTCTCCACACTGCCCTCACACAGTTACAGTTATCCGCTGCAGTCTGCAACTAGCTATTCTGTCATGGGAATGTTGGTAGTGACATAACCTTCGCTAGCAACAAGCACTTTGGGCTCGCTCATACAGACCAGAAGGCAACAGAACAGTGCACACACAGAGAGAGAGAGAGAGTACAGCTGTTAAAAATTAACTCTCGCGAATTTGTTTATAATATGGGCTGGTACAAGCACAACCTTCACAAACTCTTGACGATGAGCAGATTTACACGTACACCGGAGGGTTATATTAAAAATTCACACTTATGATATGGCAGCAGAACACCCTGCATATATTGTTAATTACAATCATTAACTGAATCCAGTCATGTGATTTCGCTGACGAGGAAAAACAATGTACCACACCTGAAACTATCCCTCGTGTGAACTGATATAAAATTATTCTGGATGTGTACGAGGGATAGGTAGGCTCAGTTTTTACACAGAACAATATTTATGTGTATGGTCCACATATCTCACAACTACAGAACTCGTGTTTCGTTCTCGCAAGAATACAGGAGTGTCCCGTTCCATTATACTTTGACTTGAAAGACATAACAATTACATCATACCTCTGCCGCTGTACCCACAGAATAAAAACCCATTATTCAACTAACTGTTGCAAAAAGCTTACATTTGCTAGCTTCCTTGCCAAAAATTCCTAAACTGTCTTTATTTCTTTTTATGAATCATGCAGTGATCTGCAAAATATTCTGATATATTGTGCCCATTTCTGTTACAGTATAACGTTCTTCAGGCATATAAAACTAATGTATATTTTTAAAAAGTGTACTCACGTACGTTCAAACACTGTTATTCCATAAAAACGATTTTTTCTTAACCGATCTCCATGATATAAATATAAATGTTGAAAACCTGTGATGTTACATAGCACCAGAATGCATATCATCCGTGTGAACTTGGGCAAGGCAGACAAAGGAGAGAAAATGCAACACCGCGCCTGCAGGTGATCAATATTTCTCAGAAATGTAAACATTAACTCCTCAAATGTTTGCATCACTCATCACTATTAAATTATATACGAACGAGATCTCAGTTCGAATCTCTGAAGCTGTGCAGTGATAAATCTCCTCAAGACAAGCTGCCCCACCTTCCCTCTCCAACCTGCTCCAGACCTGCAGTTTTAATTAGGAAACTCAACTTGAAAAGTCCAACACTCTCAACACGAACAAAAGCTGTTTTACAGCTTCTCATGTCTCAGAAGACTGGAAAGTTCAGTAACCAAAAACACTGTCTATGACAATAAAATGTCCTGATGACATCACCATGTGACAGAACAAAGCAGTATACAGAAGTCAAATAAAAATGCAATTTTCAGTTCATTTCAATCAATTTAAATAGGAATAACATATTTTTGTAAATATAAATTCTAACCATCTGATAAGATTTCTGTTAGAAGACGCTTTAAGCTATCCAGCCCAGTGAGAAATCCGCAGTCTGGACCGTGATGGACAGTAACATTGCTTGCACTGCTGCCACCAGCTCTATTGCTGAATGTAACGTTCGCAAAATCGATCATGCGGATGTCAACTTGCGTGGAGCCGGAGCTCCTTGGCAAGTCTCGCTGTCTCGTTCTATGTATCGCTGCGGTATGTACGGCAGCCTTGTTCTTGGCCCGTAAATCTACTGCGCTTTTCTTCACTCGTTTACTGGATGACGAAAACTCTGGTTGTCCATCGTCATCAACATCGTTGTCGTCGTCGTCATCATCATCATCATCGTCGTCTTCCCCATCTTCATCGCACTGAGAATGCTGACGAAATCTCTTTACTGTCGTATTATAGAAGTCGGAAGAAGCTTCTTCGGAACTCTCAGTAAGCTGCAGCAATGAACAGTCACTACTGTACAACATCCAGCTTTCAACAGGGTCTGCGACACGCGATGATGATGATGGATCCATGAAAACCGTCTCCTCAGAGATCGGGTAAAATCTTGATGCAGCCTTCGCCCCTCTCGCTGCCGCTTCACCGAACCCACGCTGATGGGATGCCTGGTTCACCTCTTCTTGGGATGATGACAGAGCGGGAAAGTCTGAGGAATTGCTAGCATCACCATCATAGTAAGCGAAACCCAGGCTTCCACGAGAGCACTCTCTGGTTCCTTCGTCACAGATACTAAAGTCATCAACCTCCTCTGTTAAACTGTTCAAGTCCTGGTGACAGAAGCAGTTGTCGAGAGATGAGGGCGACGTTCCGCAGTGCTGAGACGCGGGAAAGTCATCTGTATCCCATTCATAGCCCTCGTACACAATAAGGAGTGAACTGTGTAGAAACATCAAGTCACTATCATCAACTGTTTACAATAAGAAGTCTGAATGGACTGAAACCAAACAACGTCTATACTTTTTGAACAAATTTTAGAAACTGATATGAATGTATTATGGCAGCTCCATATTTGGAAAGGCACTTTCATCCACACAAATACAACCATTTACAAAGATCTAGTATCATAAAATTCAAATATCGCAGTGAAACTAATTAACAAACTCCACGGAGCCGTCTCTTTCTTGAGAAGCTAACAGTATTCTCAGCTACTCAAAATACATCCTCAAAGTCTTCTCTACCCTTCAGGATTTTCAATCAAGATTTTTTTACGCATTTCTCATCTCCCTATGCATGTTACATCGCCAACACATCACACCCTCCTAGATCTAATGAGCCTAATAATATACAGCAAAAAGTATATAAAGCACCTCATTATGCAAATTTCAAACGGCTTCCCATCACCTCATTCATCTTGGTTCCAAATAATCTCAACATCCTGTTCCAAACGTCTTCAGTCTGTTTTTATTTGATCGACCCGTAACGGCCGTGTGTCACAGCAGCATACAGCTACACTGTTAACCCCTTAATATGATTAGAATCTACAGTTTAACAACTCACCAAGAATAAAACCGGTAGCTACTTTGACGCTCAATAGCCCTCCGGAGTTCTTCGAGACGTGATATTACTGTGCGAACAACCTGACTACGTAACTGTAATCCATTGTGGAAAAAGTGATACAACGCTCCCTTGAAGCCCTCTTCGTTAAGCTCACGTCCCCAGTATTTATCACGCTTCAGATAATGATCTGTGTTAGCCTGGTACACCTGTAACATGAACATAAATACAAGTTTTCCTAATGACCCAAAACACAATCATCAAACTAATGATTATTCATAAATACCAGGCGACACACAATATGTAAACAAAATTGATTATTTTTAATTTCCGACAACACAAAGGGTCGTTAAGAAAGGGTAAGTGCCCTCACCTGCATGCCACACAGCCTAACTCCCAGAGAGGCTGATGTACTAGCAGCACATTTAGCTATCTGCTTGCTCCTCTTCTCGGCTGAAGCATCGTCGCCGTGTTGCCTCGTTCCCATCTTCAGGTCAAGAATGCACGGCTGAGTGTAGCGAGACGTGATGTTCTCTAGCATCAAGAAGTCTGGTGTATTTTGTCAAGGAAATTGCATGTCACTAATGCCGAGTGTCAAATACAGAAGAACGGAACTGATGAGGTAAATACATTTTAAATAATATCAGAAAAGCAAGATCACATAAATATCCTTCGATGGAACGCGATAACACTCCATTTTTTTAATATCTTTATTATAACTAACTAACTAGATGGCTTACCGAACCCGAAGGTTCATCACCGAATTAACCAAAGCCCTCCACCGGATCCTGTCCTGGGCCAACAAAATCCAGTTTCCTTCAACTCCTATCTCCCATAGATCCCGCCTGACATTATCCTCCCATCTACGTCTAGGTCTCCCCAGCGGTCTCTTCCCTTCAGGTTTCCCAACCAGTACCCGGTGCACACCTCTTGTCCCATCCATGCGCGCTACATGCCC